AAAATAATCAAATTGATTAGCAGACTGCTTAATTAAACGCAAAGTGATGACTCGAGCAATATAACGAACTTTCGTCAAAACGACAGGACTGGCGCCGCATTTTGTAGTATAGCGCCAAACGACAAAGCTTTCGCCAGGCGCTGCACTCCACAGAGGGGCCTGCAGTCCAAATCGCGGCGTCATTGCTGGAATGTTGATCTTGGACTGCTTTCGGTATAATTACTCTACACGGTATGCCTAAAGTCGTACTAAGCCAATTCTGATTAAAATATTAGACTTTAATTACCCTAATTAATTAATTAATTAGGAAAAGTTCTTTTTAGTCATTAATCAGATATTTAGTCTTAACACAAGTCAAACAAACGGTTAGGAAAAACACATAAAGTATGCATAACAAATAATACACAATTAGTCAAGTAGTCACAGCATGATGCAATGAGTTTGCAACCTAACCATGCCTCTAGTTCTCTAAAGCTCGAGATATGGGTTAGTCAAAGAGAGAACATGGTTAATTGTCCAGATGCACCGTGCGGAAGCCTTACCTTTTAAGGGTTGGCGCGAGTAGATGGGACACCGCGAGTTAAAAACTCGCTTCCATGGTTTGGTGAATTCAACATTCTCGGATGAACCCTTTGTTGCACAGAGCGTTCAATCAGGTAGATGGAGCATGAATTCCCAGAGGGTTATGTCCATATGTAGAACACATATGGGTTTCAGAAAAGTGAGAAAAACTCAATTAGGGAGTAGGAACGAGCAAACAGTGCTAAAAACTGGTCAAAATTAGAACGCATATTTCTGGCTCGGTATTGGAAGAACTTGGCACCAGCAAATAGAGGCCAATGCCGCGATTTGGCTTTGGCACCTGGCAACAGAAGTTGTTGCCTGGTGGTAGAGTCAAATCATCGGCGCTAGACTCTATTTTCTGACGCTAGTTCCTACACGCCTTAGCATCTTTCTGTGCTCGATAAAATTTTCCAGTTTCACGCAACATTATTTCGATCCTAGTTGTGAAAGATATTCCTCAAATTTCCTACGTGTAAAAATCCTATTTTTTTAACACATTACGAATGATCTTTCCAATGAGATCTTTTTTATGCATATGACAATAATATTAATCAAAATTACGCACATGAAATACTTAGAACTTTTCGAGTCTCATCCACTCATTCTAAATCATTGCCAAAATAAATTTCAGGAATTAAAATAAAAATCCTCCCCAGTGGAGTCGCCAAAAATTGTAGGGAATATTTCAAGCATTACACCAAACTTGAACCCCACTGTGATCATACACTTAATCATGGTGGCGTCCAAAGGGAAGGAAGATAGAGCAAAAGAGTCGCTAACAAGTTTTAGGAACTTGTAAACCGTTCACGAGCTGAAGGTTACACCCCTTAACGATCCAGGAGATCGTTAACTCCAATAGGTCTGGAACCATGACTGGTAGTTCGGGGATGAAGGTACAAATCAAACCTTAAAGAGATTGAACCTGCCCTAATAATAGGCCTCTACTTTATTCTTCTCGTATTCATGTGCGCTTTCTGACTAACATGCAATCAATAGGTTTCCCTAAACCTGTTTATCTATGTTGGTTGAATTAAATGCACAAATAAAACTATTATTGGCGATCACTTGAATTATAATCATATTAACCCTAAACAAGATTATTAATTATCTTATTAAGCGTGATTATAAGTACCAATTCCCTTTAAAAATGCATAAAAGATGTGATCAAGCAATAACAATAAATATCAAGCAACATAATAATCATAATCATAATCATCATAATATTAACAAATTTCATAATCATGTTAAAACTAAAGCATAATATTAATAGCAAGATCCTAGGCATGATACTAACAAGATTAATAACAAAACCTAGCATGTCGCTAAACAATAAAGATCAAATATATAGCCCTAACATGATACTAACATGAATATTAGGAAAAAAATAGGAAGCATCATAGAAATCATAATAAACATATTTGATATTATAAACTTTTCCCTAAACATAATACTATGAATCATTGTGGTCATTCAAAACATCAAGCATCCTAACATGATACTAGAAATCGTAATAACAACCTAAACATGATTTCTATATCATAATATCAATGCAAACAATCAAAGCACTTACTTGGATGCCTCGTATCTCTTTCTAATAACAAAATACCCGCGTTACTAACTTCAAGGAAAATAATAAAAACAATTAAATTAAAGAATTGAAAGAGAGATTTGGGACCAAACCCTCAGAAATATCAAACCTTTCACGTCTAGGGCGAAGGCAACTTCGAACTTGGCTAGGTGTTTCTTGATCTTGTGAATGCGGAATTTTGTATGCAAAAAGCTTGTTTAGAAAAGAGAGAGAGAAGATATCAAGAGATTCTTGAAAACTAGAGAGAAAAAGAAAATTAATTGTTTTCATGATTGAAAACGGAGGTTTTAGGAGGCTATTTATAGAGAAAATCAGCCGGATGGATAAAAAAATGAATCAGAGTTTCGAAGAGAATAAAACAAATTAGCGCGAGACGCTAGACATTAGTGTCAGGCGCTAAAGCTAGCGCCAGACGCCAGGAATTAGCGCCACGCGCTAATCCTATCGTCAGGCACTAGGAACTAGTTTCACGCGTTTTCTTAATTTTGATAAAATTTAGTCGTACAGAAGGGCAATTTCGTATTTTCTTAAAAAACACTTCTTTTATTCTGATTAAAACTCTAAAGTCAACTAAAGTCAATTTATCAATGCTATTTAAATTATGAATGAAAAGAACCTTCTAGAAGAATCTAGAATACTATAATCAATTCTAATTGCATTAGGAATGATAAATCAATATTAGGCCCTCCTCTAGATCATTGGGCTGCATATAAATATCAAACCGAGCCCAGTTTAGTAATTTGGTCATAACTTCCTCATTATTCATCGAAATTGGGCTTATAATATATCGTTGAAAAGCTCTTTTCAAGACCGACCCAAATACATTATTATTTGAACAATTCTATGGACCAAACAAAACTGGATTTACTGTTTTCTTAAAATATGTTTTCAAAAACAGAGAAAAAGAAAAGAATTAATAACTAACCGCAACACTAGACTTTCCACACTTTCACTTTATTCGATTATGATTCGACGTGAAAGGTACTCATCACCGGGTTTGGTTTTGGGGAGACACAAATGGGTGTCTACACCTAGCTTGTGAAAGGTTGTCACAACAATGAATGCAGTAACAAATCGGTTACCAAGAGAGACGTGTGCTCGACGGTGCAAGATATGCGTTTCTTAACTTTATATGTTTTAAATAACGATGGTTTGCAAGTATAAGTGTTACAAGAATGATTTAGGATCATAGAACGTTCTGAATCATTCTCCGTTCCTATCGCTACTTTGACTTTCGTTTTCGAAACATAAGTTTCTCCAAACTTAGTCAAAGTGGGGGCTTTTGTAGACACCCATTTGTGTCTCCCCAAAAACAAAACCCGGTGATGAATACCTTTCACTTCGAATCATAATCGAATAAAGTTAAAGTGTGGAAGGTCTAGTGTTGCGGTTAGTTTTTATTAAAATTCTCTCTTTATGTTTTCGAAAGCCTATTCTATTTTATGAAAATATCCAATCCAGTTTAGTTTGGTCCATGAAAAGGGTTCAATAATAGTGTAGTTGGATAGGGCTCGAAAAGATCTTTCCAACGATATATTATAAGCCTAATTCCGATGAATAATGAGGAAGTTATGGCCAAATTACTAAACTGGGTCCGGTTTGATCTTTATATGCGGCCCAATGATCTAGAGGAAGGCCTATTATGAATTATCATTCCTAATGCTATTAGGATTTATTATAGTATTCTACAATTTTCTAGAAGGTTCTTTTGAATCCTAATGTGATTAGGATTGATTATAAAGATTTACGAATTTTATTTAGAATAAAAGAAGTGTTTCAAATGAAATTACGATTTTACCCCTCGTACAGAATTTTACGCTTAATTTTTTCAAAAATAGAAAATGTGTGGAAAAATTGCCTGCAGCACCGAACGTCAGGCTGTCGCCTCGCGACAGGGGCTGTTGTGGCAACAGTGACGTGTTTTATTCCTTTTCAAACTCCGATTCTTTTTTTATCATATCCGGACTATTTTCATTATAAATAGCGTCCTTAGAACTTCATCAATTCTCACAAACTCTCATCAAGAAATTCTTGATTTACTCTCTCTCTTTGTAAACCAACCTTTTTACAAATAAAATTCCGCACTCACAAGATCTAGAAATACTTAGCATAATTCGAAGTTGCCTTCGCCCTAGACGTGATAGGTTTGATATTTTTGAGGGTTTGGTCCCAAATCCCTATTTCAATTATTTAATTTAATTGTTTTGTTTACTATTTATTGTAGTTACTAACGTGTGTATTTTGTTATTAGAAAGAGGTACGAGGCATCCAAGTAAGTGCTTTAATTGATTTATTGATATTATGATACAGAAATCATGTTAGGATGTTTTATTGCTTCCTAGTATGATGTTTAGGGTAATAACTAAAAATTCTTAATATCAAGTATGATTGTTATGATGCTTCCTATTTTCTATCCTAATATCATGTTGGCTAAAGCTTTGATCTTTAATGTTTAGTGACATGCTAGGATTTGTTATAAATCTTGTTAGTATCATGCCTAGGATATTGCTAATGATATTATGCTTTAACATGATTATTTTAATTATGAATATTATTTATTATTATAATGGTTATGATTATTTTTATGATAACTTTAATTATGATGATTATAATTATTATTATTTTAATTATTATTATTATATTGCTTGACATATTTATTGTTATTTCTTGATCACACCTTTTATGCATGTTTAAAGGGAATTGGTACTTTTAATCACGCTTAATAAGATAATTAATAATTTTATTTAGGGTTAATTTGATTATAATTCAAGTGATCGCACTACAACAAAATAGGGCTATAGCAACGTCAATTTTTGCAACAGTTTGGTTAGTGTTGCTATAACTAGACATATTGCAACACTTTTTAATTTATTAATGTGATTACTCTCAGTCTATTAAAAACTGTTGCTATACAAAAAATATGGCGACACTTTTCAATGACTAAGTCAAAGATGCTATGTGGCAACAGTTACTATCCTATTTAAAAAAAAAGAATGGGTGTTGAAAAAAATCTGTAGGCGGGTCGTCATTTGGTAAAATTTCAGTAGGAGGTTCAATATTTTGCTTTCCCACTCTCTTTTCATCTTTTCTTAGTGTTCTATAAAATTCCCAAATTCTCGTTAAAAAAAATCCCCAAATTAAACCTAAATTCGTTTCTCTCTCCTCACTTTCACTTCTCAAACTACAATTAATTGGTGAATTTAGCTGATTTTTCAAAGATTGGGCAAAAGGGGGCCGAATATTCACAGTTTAGCGGATTATTTATGCTATTTTCAAGATCGACATACGAGGTTAGTAGTAATTCGGTGTATTTAGTTTTTATATTCGATACTATTATCACAATTCTAAGGTAGTAAACAGGGTATATTAGTGTTGATAAGGGAAAATAGGGTTTTATTGATATAAAAATTGGGGAATTTGAATGATTTGATATAATTATAAATAATTTGTATACATTGATTTATTAGGTGGTTTATCACTTTCTATTAAAATTGCATGCATGATTTAGTATTATCAGGGAATTCATTTGATATTTTCGTATTGTGTTTGTGTGTTTTGTTAGATGGCTTAATTCAATCACAAAAGCTATTGAATTATTATATGGTTTATTAGCTAAATTATTTATGGGCTAGATGGTTAATTATATTTTCAGATACTCGCAGCGAGTAGGATAGTTAATTGATCTAAAAGCTTCTGTTAGATTGTTTATTAGCAGAATTATTATAGGGTTTAAGTCATCACAAAAGCTAAATCCTTCTATAATATGTACTTTTGATGATGAGAGTAAATAATTTAAAAGGTAATTGAATTTAGAATATGAAGGGTTAAAATTACAGTGATAGGCAAGGCTAGGATTGATACCCATTGATATATAAAATTAATGGTTGGTGAGGATTTTTGTCTTCCTCTGATGAATAATAATACCCTGTTATGCTATCCTAGTTGCTACTATGGTCAAATGTTTTTTGTATGTAACTACAAGCATATATCTAGCAAAAATTGAAAATGTACGAGGATAATTTTACTTTGTCAATATTTTGTTTTAATGAGATTAATCGTATGTGAACCTAAAGACTTTTTATTTCAATTATGTATAACAGTTTGTATACTTGAGTAATATTTGTGTTCTTATGTTTTATTATTTGTATACATACAAATAAATTGGCTTTCAATAATTCAGATAACATCTAAGTTTAATTGATTGTTTAGTAAGTCCTATAATCATCCAACTCAATAAGGCTAGAGTCAAGAAAGCTAGTACATCATCAGCTTTGTGGGGTAATTAATAAATAAAGGATAGTAAGACAAATTTTAAGTACTAAATATCCGAAACCCATAAGAGCAAATTTCATATCATTATTTAAAACCAAAATATCAAAGATGCTCCAATTTAATTATGTGGCCAGTAGCGTAGTTCTAGTTAGTGGGGAATTATCATGAGTTAATGGAATCATGTCTACCTAACTTTTAATTCATAGTTAGTAGTTTCTTATTTGAAGTTTTTTTAGGCTTTGTAATTTTCTTTCTAGTTAGTGTGTAAAACTAGTTATTCTCTTGTTATATATGACTTTTGACCTTAATTAAGATGTTACATATGACTTATATGAACTAGATTTTGGTTTATAACTAATATGTGTACGTATTTAGATATCATAGATGATCTTTATATGTATTTGCTTGACATTTCTATTTTTAACTATTGTACTATATATTTTTCCAGTTAATATCTAACAAACCTATTATTTCATTTCATAGTATTGATAGATCTCTAAATTTATTTGCTTGTGTAATTTAGGAATTGACATAAATTAAGTTATGGATCATAATTGGATGAACTATCCTAGAAGTTCGGAGGACTTTAAAGTTGCGTTGAATTTTTTTCTTGATGATTCTTTTGCCAAGGACGCCATTGGAGATCAAATATTTTTGCCCTGTAAAACGTGTTCGAGGCGTTTTTGCCATTCTAGAGATGACGTCTATGATCATTTGATTGTTAATGGATTTGTGAAGGGATTCAAGGAGTGGGTCTTGCAAAGGGAGGGATATTCTTTTACAAATAATGATAGGCAAAATGTGCATGAAGTAAATAATCAAAGTACACATGATGATATTGATGGCTTACTACATGATACTTTTAGAGATGTCGGTGAAGGTCTAAATAGAGATCACGAGGTTAAAAGTGAGCCAAATGAGGAGGCTAGAAAGTTTTTTCATTTAGTGGAAGAAGGAAAGAAAGAGTTATATCCAGGTTGTAAAACTTTCTCGAAATTGTATTTCATAATTCGTTTGTTTCTCTTTAAGTGCCTTAATGACTTAAGTAATGTAGCCTTTGGTGATCTTTTAGAGCTATTAAGAGAGGCATTTCCAATGGCCGAACTTCCTAAATCATTTAATGAAGCTAGGAATATAGTGAAGAATTTGGGTGAATAGCCAAGGTCGAAAGCGTAGATGGGATAGTGCACAAAGTCATAGCAAAGATTTTATTGATTGGTTTTTTTGAAAAAGTACAAAGGGAGCAGGTTAATGGGGAACTTTTTTGGTTGGCTAAGGGTCCTAATCCCAAGGCCAGGAGCTACACTGGGTATTTTATCAATGGTTATAGGTTTTACACTAGAGAACGTGATTCACGATTAAAGACTCAAAATAGTGGAGTGATTTTGATAGCTTTGACTTCAAGTTTTGCCAGTTCAAGGGATCGAAATCCCGTCGACGGAGATGTTACCTATTAAGGTGTAATAGAAGAAATTTTTGAGTTGGACTTTTGGTCTCAATTCAGCGTTGTGTTATTTAAGTGTGATTGGTTTCTTAGTGATATTGATGAATTTGGGCTTACATATGTCCCTTTCAAGAAGAAATGTTCCAAAGATGATCCATTTGTATTGGCTTCTCAGGTTCATCAAGTATACTATTCCCAAGACCCATTAGAAGAAGATATTCAATACGTCATGAAAAGGGTTCCAAGAGATCTTTTTGACTTTGAGGAAGCACTAAGTGAAGAAACATATTGGGAGGAGCCTATTGATTCTAGTTCTAATAACATGCCTTCTTTTGATGCTAATCATATTCATGTAAGAGATGATGTTGAAGTGCGTGCTGTGAACATAGATGATTTATCAGAATTTGAAGATATTAATGACCTTGAAGATGGCGTTGACTATGATGATACAGATTGGAATTGGATGGATGCGACTGATGATTTTCCAGCTCATGACCCATAGGATTATTAATGAATCTTGAGCAGTTGTATTTATTTAAAAAAAAAAGAAGAAGTGAGTTTATCATATTATTATCTGTCTTATGTTATTAGACTTGTTGATTGAACCTTTTGATTTAGCTTTTGTTAGTAGTAAGTAGTTATCATATTTGGACTTCCTCAAAATTATCATCTTTTTAGTGAATCAGATTGTTTTTTTCTAATTTTTTCCCAAAACCTGAATATATTTGCTTTGGTGAGGTATAAGATATAGTACTTATAAATTTTTAAGTTTAAGTATGTCTATATGTGTTATATTTGAAAAAAATATGTCTTACTTTTTTGTAGTAAGTGCTATTTGATATGTCTAAACTATTTTTCCCCACTAACTGTTTATAATATTTGTTTGCAGAATGACGAAGAATGGAAGTAAGAAGCCTGAAATTGCCTCAAAGTCCATTTTAACACCTTATGAGAAAGTTAGGTCCATGACAATAGAAAAAAATACCCAGAAGTTTAGAGAGTTAGGGCTCGATAAGATTACTGTTGGAAAAAAGTAAGAATTTTGCAAAAGGAAAGGAGAATGTGAATTCTAATGTAGATGATCCAGACTATGTGCCTGATAAAAAAAATTGTGACCTTGAGGAGTTTGAGAAGTCTAGAGAGAGAGATGTTTTAATTGAAGCAGCAACCTCTATACCTAAGAAGGTTTCTTTTTTCCTTTTTTCCTTATTTATTTTTTATTTTCTTCTTGGGATCATGTTAATCTTCGATAATAATTACCTTGATGTTCCGATGCTAGAAGGCAAGAACTAGAGAGCAACCACCTAGGAAGAATAAGAAGCAGCCATTGTGCCCATATATGGCAATGGACGATTTCCTTGTTACGCAAAATCAAATGGATCCAGTTGAAGTACAACAAATAGAGAAAGATGTACAACAATTGGAGCAAGTTCGACAACATTCTAAGCGTCCACTTTCGACCATTGTCCCACTAGAAAGCCGAGGAGAATCTATTTTCGCACAAGGTTTGTATTCAATACTCCACCCCTCTAAAAATCATGATAAATCTTATGGTCTTGTAACATTTTTAGTTATGCAATCCAAGGTTAGAGAAATTTCTATAATCTGCTTCTTCTCTTATTATTTAAGTAATTAGCTGTAAACAATGAACAATTTATGAACAAACTGCTAGCTAATTACCATTATTTACCATTATACAATCAAACATAGTTATGTACGGGTTGAAGTTAGTTTTATTAGGCTTGTGGGGGAGTATGGGAGGTATTTGACGAGAGTTTTTTGCTATGGGAGGTGCTGCTGCTGCACGAGGAAATATGTGAATGCTTGTGTTGATCAAGGGACACTGCTAGTACAAGGTTTGTTGTTGTTAATGCAGGGTCTGCAGCTATTGTTGATGCAGGGCCTTCTACTTTTGATGCAGGGCCTGCTGATGTATAAGGCTTGGCTTCACAGTTCTATAGAATTATAAAATACAAAAACAGATTGCAATTCTTTAAATTGAGTTGAATGCTTGTCACATGTTTATTTTTGAACTTTTATATTTCATGTAATTGCATTAATAAAGTTGTGATTGTAATCTTTATTTTTATCTAGATATTTCTTATGAATTAATTATTCCGTTCTAACTTGGATAAAAGTTCCTAACAAGAAAGGGCGAGGTCCAACAAATTTGTTTGATGTCCATGCTCGCAAGTGGGAAGATCGCGTAACTATATATTGTAATGACAAAGGACAACCTATTGGGCCTGAAAAGGCAAGGAAAGAGCTAACTAGATTCTTAGGAACTATTGCTCATGATTACAATTGGGCTCCCTTGACATACACAAATTGGAAAAAAGTTCCAAATAAGGAGAAAATTTGGGAATTTGTGAATGTAAGTGTTCTTTTCTCTCATTTGTAATGTTTTGAGTCTACAACATAATTTTACTTTTATATGTGTTTTAATATTTTTTTATAACATAAACCTAACCATTATTTTAGACCAAGTACATACTTCATGTTGAAGCTAAGGATTGGGTAATGGAGACTCTTGATCAATCTTGGAGAGGATTCAAATGTCGCCTCAAAAGAGATCATTATTATATGTATGACACCTATGAAGAGAGATTGAAGCATCCTCCTGAAAGAGTGCCCGAAGCACATTACAAAACACTTTTAGCTTATTCGGGGACAACAATAGCAAAGGTATAATTGAATAATTAGGAACTCTAAATTTGTCTTAACTTTTATGCTTATGCGTTTTTATTTTATGTAGAAAACCAGTTTGCAAAATTTTGAAAATCGGCGTGAACAAGACAACATACATACAAATGGTCTCATTTCCTTTTCCATGAAACATGAGCAGTTGGTGCGAAATACATTCCACATTTATTATGATTATTTTTTTATTTCATGGATTCTATGTTGTTTATATATTTATTTTTGTTTATTTATTAGCTACAGAAAGATGGTGTGGCACATCAAAAAGAAGAATGTTTGAAGAGAATCGACGACGAAAGGAGGGAAGAACTTATGATCGGCCTTATGATGATACACAACAGAAGATAGTAAATACTATATTATTCCTATTAATTTATTTAATGAATAAATTAATCGTATACTTTGTCACCTATAATTTTTAATAATTGTTATAGCAAGCAATGAGGGAATTGGAAGCTTCTCAAGATGATCAGAGTGGTGAATCTATTAAGGACCCATTTGATGAAGTTATGGGAAATGCACGTCGAGGTACATAATTATTACAAGGACTTGGTGCCACTCGTAAGAAGCGAAAAGATAAAGGACCTAGTACCTCTTTGATTCTACCAGAAGAGGTCATGGAGTCTATCAAAAGTGTTGTAACTGCTGATGTTCAAAAGGATATAAATGCTGAAATTGAAGAATTTGCCAAGGAAAAAGAAGTTCATGCTGCACAAGTTGCTGCACAAGAAGCTGAAATAGAAAGGAAAACAAAGGAGCTTGAATCTGAGACCTTAAAACTGCAAGAGATACGCATGGATATTGAAAATCAACAAGGAAATATAACTCTTGATGCAGTAATATCGGCACTTGCACAACTACGCCAAAAAGATCCTAGCTTAACTCCAGAATTTATTGCAAAAGCTTTGTTTCAACGACTACAAATGATCCATAAACTATATTATTTAAGATTATGAACAGGTATGTTATTCCATTTACATGTTATCTTAGAATGCCTTTGGTTGCCGAGTTGGATGTTAGACCAAAGATCATACTTAGGTGGTTTAAATTCGATAATTTTTATGTGTTTGCATATGCTAAAAAGGCGTTAGAATTTGCAGGGTGTTAAAAAGCTAATATATATATGCATGCCAATGGTTTACATATTTGTTCAGTATTGTTCAAGTACTACTTTATATGGTATAATGGATAATCTAGAAACTTGAGCTTTGTGTTATAAAATATGTGCTTACTGGCATTATTGTTTTTGATGATTATACGATTGAAAACTTAATTTCTTTCCTTTTCTCGAAACTAGGCATCAAAACTAATGATTCTAGCTAAGCCAACTTGTTTTTGTTTTGATAATGTAGTATCTATGATTATACAAATTTATGATCCTTTGATGTTACTTCCTTATACTCTTTTGATGTTGCTACAGTACCTCCATCTTGCCTTTTTAAGATGAAATATTTTTTATTTTCATTATTTGCTCACTACAAAAGTAATTTCTAGTGTTTTGATAATAATTTTCCATAAATAATTCATTGGAGATTTATTTTTTTTAAATTTAGTATAAGAGTCTTATTATTATTGTTATTGTTTTGCAGGAGGCTATTCATATCCAAGTATCAAGTGCTCCATCAAACATCTAAAGATCTATTGGAATTTGAGCAAAAACATTAGATTGGTTTTTGAATTTGGTTTTGGATTTTTTTATTAGATTAATGTATGAAATATTTAGATTGAACGTTTTTGTTGTTTGTAATAAATATTTAGCTTATCGTTTAGAATTGATTTGAATTAATTACATATAAATTTTTATGGAGAACTTATACTAAGCAAAAGTTTATCGATCATATGCTATTTAAGCAATTTACTTATTATATGCATTATATAATCTATTGCTTAAATGCCAATTAAAAGCGTTGCCATTAACAGGTTTAAAAGTGTCGCCTTAGTTTCAATTGGAAGCATTGCTATAAACAAAATAAAGTGTTGCCTTAATTTTAAACATCAACTAGTTTCAAGCCAACAAGTGCTGCTTTAAATTAGCGAAAATTGTTGCTTTAACTTTTATAATGTTGCCTAAAGTTGTTGAATAAGTGTTGGCATAAAGTAAAAAGTGCTACCGAAGAAAAGCGCTGCAAAAATTATTTACAGCAACTGTTTACAATAATTGTTGCCTAACGCATGAAAGTTGTTGCCTAAGAGTTTTAGCAACGACACCTATTGGTAACGGTTTATAATCTGTTGCTATAGGCATATGGCAACATTAATAGGACATATGGTAACAAATTATTGTTGTTGCCATAAGTCTTTTTTTCTAGTAGTGTCGCCAATAATAGATTTATTTGTGCATTAATATTCAACCAACATAGATTAAACAGGTTTAGGGTAAACCTATTGATTGCTTGTTGGTTAGAAAGCGCACATGAATACGAGAAGAATAAAGTAGAGGCCTATTATTAGGGCAGGTTCTTTCTCTTTTAGATTGGATTTGTACTATCATCCCCGAACTTCCAGTCTTGGTTCCAGACCTATTGGAGTTAACGATCTTCTGGATCGTTAACGGGTATAACCTTCACCCTGTGAACGGTTTACAAGTTCCTAAAACTTGTTGGCGACTCTTTTGCTTTAGCTTCCTTCCCTTTGGACGCCACCATGATTAAGTGTATGATCACAGTGGGGTTCAAGTTTGGGGTAATGCTTGAAATATTTCCTACAAACGGTGAGGGGAGATTTTCTTGTGATGAGAGGATTTTTGAGGATTTTGATCCTTTTCATTCCCCTTTTGAGCTTGAGCGCCCTCCTTCCCCTTATTCACCCCCTTTGAGAGCTACCCTTCGTTAGGATATGATGAACCATTTTAAATTTGGATGAGGGATTTTATGAGGTTGATGATGAGTTCGAGCTTCAAAGAGAGATTGATAGTCCCTTGAGTGATGATGGTGGAGGAGTTGTGAATGAAGAAAATTTTGATGTTTAGGATTCCAACCCCCTTCCCCATCTTGATGAGTCTAGTTTTCATGTTTGTGACCCTTTTATCCATGAGTCTTTGGACTCCTTTGAGGTTATTTCTAGTATATTCATTGAAGGAGTAACAAAGCATTATAGCCTTTTGAGAGAGTTCATTGGAAATGCTTCATGGGAAAGGGATGAGTTTGAGATAAACCTTTATCCTTCCCTGCATGGTTTAGAGACTCTAGGCTTTGAGTTTGTTGAGGAAATGGTTGTTCATCGGTGTGATAGAGACTAAGATGAGGTTATTTCTCTTAGAGAGTTTTTTTTTTGAGGGAGATAAGTCATGAGTGTTATTTTGAGGACTTTATGATTAATTTTCATGCCCTCATTGGTAATTTGAGGCTTTGTGATACCATTGTTTCTCCTCCCCTTCCTCATGTCCCTTTTTCAAGGAAATTTGACCACATCCCTTTCTATCCTATGTTCCTCCCTTATTTTCTCAAAGAGCCTATTGAGGATTTCTTCTTTGATGAGACTCTTCCTTCTCATCCTCCCATTATTGAGGAAATGGGTGATTGTGCCACCCTAAAAGATTTTGAGGAGGTTTTGCCTTCTTCTTCTTCTTTCTCCTCCTCCTCCTCCTCCTCCTCCTCCTCCTCCTCCTCCTCCTCCTCCTCCTCCTCCTCCTCTTCTTCTTCTTCTTCTTCTTCTTCTTCTTCTTCTTCTTCTTCTTCTTCTTCTTCTTCTTCTTCTTCTTCTTCTTCTTCTTCTTCTTCTTCTTCTTCTTCTTCATCTTCTTCTTCTTCTTCTTCTTCTTCTTCTTCTTCTTCTTCTTCTTCTTCTTCTTCTTCTTCTTCTTCTTCTTCTTCTTCTTCTTCTTCTTCTTCTTCTTCTTCTTATTCTTCTTCTTCTTCTTCTTCTTCTTCTTCTTCTTCTTCTTCTTCTTCTTCTTCTTCTTCTTCTTCTTCTTCTTCTTCTTCTTCTTCTTCTTCTTCTTCTTCTTCTTCTTCTAATATTCTTGATTTTTCTTTTGCGTGCAATAGTCAACAAGCCTAGACATATTTTGGTTATTTTAATTGATTTCTTTCTTTTCCCCTCCCATAGATTACTTTGTTTATATTTGAGCATGTTGTCTCATTCAAGCTTGGGGGAGGGGATTCTATCATGTTTGGTGGGATGTTGATTCATTTATTCCATGCACTTAAGTATATGCATTTCCATCTCTTTTCTTATATTTAAAAAAAATCCAAAAATATTTTTGCTTACATTCAAGGTAATTTTGGCAAATTAAATTGTGTTTTATTTGTTCTAGTTTTGGACATTCTATTTTGGGACTTGTATTCTTGAATGTTTTTCTTCCTAAGTGGTAAATGTGTGCATGGTTTAAGAGTGTCATTGGTTGACTCTAGGATACTATATGCTAAGGTAGCCAGTTTAAGAACTTTTGGGTTCCATGAAACCATAGTTCATTGCTTATGGTAAGATGGAGTTGCTCTATCTCTATAGTGGATTTGAAACCCTTTGTTGGTATTTTCTTAGCTATATATCCCTTGTGAGATTCATTTGTTCTAGCCTTCCTCTTCTTGTTGAGCGGTAATTTAGGATCCTTAGCTATGCATGTCTTAGTCCTTGTTATGACTTCTAGCTCCCAAGATTGTGGCAGAGCCACTCTAGGGGAGGAAAAGGGCACCTTTTCTCATTTTTCTGTATTTTCTTTTTGTTTTGTTAAAAATTTGGTTTTCTATTTTTCATTAAACTACTTATTAACCAATTTGAGCCTAATTTTTCCTTTCTTGTATTAACCACATTACAAACAAAACGACCTATGCTTACCAACCTTTTTTAGTTAGTGAAGCATTTGGCATGTGAGGTTTGAGTTTTGAGCGTGTTGTTTATGAGCAATAAACACTTTGAAAATTTGGTTTAAGTAAGGTATTGAAGTATGAGCTTGATATGAATATACAAGAAATGTTTCAAATAAAGATGCAATTCAAGAAAATCAAATGAAATTTCAAGAAAAAGTCGTCCGTAGTTATAAAAAAGGCAAGGATACCAAATAAAAAAAATAAAAAAGAAAAAAGAAAAGAAAATCCATACAAAATTGGAAAAAAATAATCAAAAACATAAAAAAAATTTAGTTGGTTTTGTTTTTCTTCCCTTGTTTAAGCATTGAGGACAATGCTTCGTTCAAGCTTGGGGGGGGGGGGGAGCGTTACTTCGTTTTTGTATATATTATGTGTTGGTGTTGAGTAAGCTTGGGGGAGATGGCTTTATTTGTATTTTTTTTTGTTTATGTTTGGTGACTTCTTGAGTTGGTTTTTGAGAGTTGACCCCCCTTTTGCTTCACTTAGGAAATATCACCAAAATTTTCAAATTTTTACCCCGCCTTGACCCCTAACCTTACTTTACAAATAAAAGACCATTAGTCCTTGCGGGTTGAGTCAACATTGGTGGGGGGAGATAGTTGTCAAGCCTTTGGAGAGAGTGTGCATGGCTAAGATGTCGGGATTAACTTCTCAAAGTTTTTTATTTTCTTTATCTTTTTCCGGTTCCTTCGAGGAATCATGAGAAGCTAGCTTAAGGGTTGATTTGAAACTAGTGGAGAGAACGCGAACCGATTGGTTGGGGCTAGGGTGGATTGAGTCCTCATTAGTTTTCTATGCTTAGCATATGTTATGTTTCAATCATCCATTGACATCTTGAAACGTGCATACATTTATCTATTTAGAAAGATTTTCATTCATTGATGCTTGTTCTTATCTCTTGTCCAAATATAACTTGTGTTTTCTTTCTCTTTTTACGTTTCTTTTTCTTTTCATTGCCTTGCCTTGGTTTTTGTCAAGAGTTGTGGGTTAAGCTCTTAGGAAACCCTCACGAGAGAACACTCATCCTCTAGGGCGATTTAGAGCTTTAAAGGGCTTGTCTTTAGTTGTTAAAATTGACCGTGATTACTAAGAAATTAAGTTAGTGTACATTCTGATCTCCTTTAGTGTCTTAGCTTTGTTTAATAATTCACTCCCTTTTCTCTCGTGTTTCGTGTTAATTTGCTTGAGGACGAGCAAAAGATTAGCTTGGGGGAGTTTGATAAGTGGCTTTTATGTCCCTTTTTATTGAGTCGTTTTCCGGCTTATTTTCCAATAATTTAGCTCATTTTATCCTTTATTTCTATTATTTGCTTATTCTCGTCTTTCATCTTTTGATTTGAGTATTTTGTATTTTTTAATAGTTTTTAGTTTAATTTCGTAATTTATTCATGTTTCTTATTCTCTAATGTTTCTAGTCTTGGTTCTAGTTAATAATAATCTTCTCGCTTTTCTCCTTCTATAATTTTCTTTTAGTATCTAGTTTGTTTTCTTTATTTTATTAAATTTCATTTTGATTTTAGTAATTCTTTTAGTTTTAGTATTATACTTTACTTAATTTTATCTCTTGATAATACCCTCGTGTATTTGTTGTAGGTCGTGTTTGGTGTTTCGGGTTTGAGTCAAATGAGCTTCATAATTCACAAGCCTCCAAGCCCCAAACCTGCTGCCTTGTTAAACTACACCACACCAATCACCTAAACCTACACCACAGCCCAACATCACCACCAACACTCCCCTGCTCTTCCGTCCAAACCACAACAATTCACCACCACCATTACAACCACCACTTTCCCGTGCTCCTTCCAAAACCACCTGCCGTCGTGCACAGCAGCAAGGCTGCCCAACACCACGCACACCATCCCGCAACTTAACACCACTAAAACACCACGACCACCAGCACTTTCATTTCGACCCACAACAAGCCCACGAATATAGCCAACTCCCACGCAGCTCCCAGCCACCGTAATCACCTCGCCGTCAGCCGCGAACATAGCAGCCTGCAACCCCCATAGCAGAGCAGCAGTGCGCACC